GCATGGGTGTGCGCACACATGATGGGGTATGTGAGTCTATGTGCTGACGTCAACGTGCACATATTTATATTTGGGACCGTAAGCAGGCGTGTATGTGTCTGGCACGACATATGAATAAGTGGAGTCCTCTCACCCCTTGGTCATGGTACCCCCTTCTCTCTCCCATCCTCCTGCCCTAGGCCTTCGGGGGCAGGACCCATTCTTACCTGTCAGGTTTACTGCTCCAGAAACAAGGGGGAGGGGAGAGAAAAAAAGGAAACGATGTGACGGTCCACGGGCTGTGGGGCCTCCTCAACGTTTCCAGCTTGACCTCCCTCCCACGAGGCAGGCGTCGTCCCTCCCCTTCAATCTGGGACACGTCCCACGGACACATCATCCTCAAACTGGACAGAGGCAGCGTGAACCCCCCATGCTCCCCTTTGGGAGCTCCCGCTTGTTTTGTGGAATCTTGTTTGGTTGAATGTGGGAGTTAAGAGGAAGAGACAAACCCCAGCTGTGTGACTCTGATCAAGAGGCCAAACCTCTCTGAGCCCGTGTCCCCACATGTGATGTTCCTGGACCACCCTCTTCAGGACCCTTCCAAAGCCTCCTCCAGGAAAGCCCTCCCTCCTGACGGCGGGGCACGCTCACTTCTTGTACAGCAGGATGGCGATGACAATGCAGATGATGAAGACCACGGCCAGCACCGGCCCGATGACCCAGATGAGCCCCTCCTCACCATCGATGATCGGCTGGGGGTCCGGGTTATCCAACTGGAAGGGGTCTGAGAACGGGCTGGCCGCGAATGTCTGCAGGAATGAGGGGGGCCCCCGTCAGTGCCTGTCCTCAGACACAAAGCTACGTCCTCTCCCGGCTCCAGGCCCGGCTGAGCCTTCAGTAGTAAAGGCAGCTCCTCACCACGGCCCCAGGGCGGACACGGTGCAGGCCCTGCCATTCCCTCTGCTCCGCCGCCTCTGAAATCCTTTCTCCTCACAACTTTTGCTCGTGCTGTTCTAGCCACTTCTTTTTTTAAATACTTTTTAAAAAATTTTTAATTATTTTGTGTGTGTGTGTGTGTGTGTGTGTGTGTGTGTGTGTGTGTGTACCGTCAAATTGGATCTGAGTGGTACAGGAGGAGATTGCCCCTCCTTCTCCAGCAGAGCATCTGGTGGATTTGAACCACGCACCTCTGGGATTGCAGTGCAGCTTCTTGCCACTAGGCCACCAGAACTCGCTTCTGGCCATTCTTTAAGCTCTGTGCTTAGTGAACTCCTACTCATCCCTCCTCACCCCAGTTCGCAAGCCTACGTCTCCCCCCAGTCTTTCTGTGGCTCCGCGTCCTCCCTGTCCCAGCTCTGACCACTGAGAGCCGAGGGTCTGTGTCCACACCGCGCACAGAGCGTGGCTGGATGTGGGCGCGCGTGGGACTTACGGGCTCGCTCTTCTGCAGTACGGCCAGCACAAAGAGCACGTATCGGTGGCCCGGCTCCAGGACCCGGTTGTCGAAGCCGCCGTACTGCTTCTGGTCACCGGGATTGAAGGTGTGAGGCAGCATGGAGAAGCGGGCGGCGATGTAGGGCCGGGGCACCTCCAGCTGGCGCGAGTGCCGCAGGCTGCGCCTCTGCAGCCGGGAGATGTCCTGGATCAGCTGCGGGAACAGAGGCGTGGGTGGCTCAGCAGCCCATGGGGAACGACCAGGCACGAGGGAGTCCCAGCGGGGCCCCAGCGCTCACCTCCTCCAGGTCCATCTCCTCCGGGCTGCCCAGCGGGCTCAGGAACTGGCCCCCACGAGACTTGCGCAGGGGCACCATCACGATGAAGTAGTTCCTGTGGGTGGGAGTGAGCAGTCAGGGCGGCTGGCACAGGGCACAGCAGGGGGACGCTGTCTGGGACCAGAGGGAGGCTCTTTCCACGTGGTGGTTGTTGCGTCCTGTCGTCTAGTCGGAACCACCCATTGCTGGCCCTCCAGCGGGTGTTCAGATGGTAAATCACGTGGGAGGAGGACGCCCATCTCTGTCCCGCAGGTCAGCTGGTGGATTCAAACCACACACCCTTGGGCTGGCAGTGCCATTCCTCACCACAGAGCCACCAAAGCTCCCTACACAGCAATTAAACAACAGGTCCGTTACCCTGCCCCCCGCAGACTGCAAGAGGTGCTGGAGGTGCCGTCATTATAAAGCACAGAGCAGCAAACCAAAAGGTTAGAAGTGTGAACCCACCCATCGCTCTTTGGGACAAACATATGGCAGTCTGCTTCCCTGATGATTCACAGCCTAGGAAACCCCAGTTCCCGATCCAGGACCCCGGTGCAGTGACTAATGCAAAGGCTGGCAGTGTGAACCCACAAGTGGTTGTGGAGGAGGAAAGACCTAAAGGTTTGGCCATAAAGGTTACGCTCTAGGAAACCTGCAGGCCAGGTCTGTTCTACCACGCTGCACGGTTATGTGGACTCCACACTGCACAGCACGTATGATACGCACAGCACATACAACAATGTAAACAATGCAGCTCTGGAAATGATGTGGCTCACCATATGAGACTCCTACACATCCGTGAGTGCCCCAGCTCCAGTGCCCACACTCTCCTACAGTCCTAATTCTTCAATGGTGGCCCCAGGCTCTAATGCCACCACTGCCTGGTATGGACCAGGAGTGTCCGTATCTTATTACACCAGGAGAGCACCCAGAACCAAACCGTCAGGGGCCCTGGCATCGCCCAGTACTGGGTTAGGCACACAGGGTATCAAGGAACGTGGACGTTCAGTGACAGCCCATGCATGGATTGAAGCTGGCCTGGTCCCTGCTCCAGCAGCTTCCTCCCGCCACACAGCTGGCTGACTGGGGGCCCTTCTAGGCCGGGACAAGGAGGAACATGGGGTGCACGTACTGGATGGGCACGGGGCTCTGGCCGTCGGGCAGGTACACCATGATGAAGCCATCGGAGTCGGGCTTGGGGGCCACACTGGGTTTGGTGCTTAGCATGTTGAAGGCGGTCCAAGCGGTGACGGTCTGCTGGAGGCCGCCCAGGCTGCTGCCACGGTTCGTCAGCACGAAGTTGTAGAAGGTGTGGGGCTTGAGGTGCGTGATGAGCTTCTTGGTGGTGCGTCCATCCACGTCCAGAGTGAGCCCATTGTACTGGATCTGCGGGGGCAGCACGGCTCAGCCCACCTCGCGGGGCTCACCGCCTAGTCCTGGTCCCAGCTCGGCCCAGAGGTCCCGGTGACAGACTCAGTCCTGACCTCACGCTGGGTCCTGATTCCAGCTGATCCCTGGTCCCGGCTGAACCCTGACTGAAGGCTGAGCCCAGATCCTAGGCTGAGCCCTGATCCCAGCTGAGCCCTGACTGAACCCTGATCCCAGGCTGAGGCCTGATCCAACCTGAACCCCAAGCCCAGGTCCGTTCTTAACCCTGACTGAGGCCTAATCTTAAAAGAGAAAATCTCCACCCTAAACTTTCCCCAAACCCAGAAAACTGAACTTTGGCTGAGCACTGAGCTCAGGGGAGCCCTGATCCAGGTGAGCTCAACCCTGCTCTAAACCTCAACCTTGGCTGATGCTCCTCTGAACCTCAACCCTCGTCGACTCCTGCTCTTAACCCCAACCCTGGCTGATCCCTGCTTAGAACCCCAAGCTCAGTGGCTACCCAGCCTAGTTAAACCCCCTCTGGCTGAGTGCTGACCATGGCTGAGAATCAAGCCTTATGACCTTGGTCTGCACGAGCCCTGGCCAAGCTCGAGTGTGTCCACCTGCCAGGCTGTGCCCGCCCTCCCATGCCACGCCCCCT